TTGGTTTCATACGGGTTCCAGAAGCTAGTGCCTGCATTTTTGGAGTTTCCTAATATGTCAGTATACACTCCATAGAATGTCTTTGCTACGCAAAAGAGAATTCTGTCCTCATACATTCTATTCTTATAGAATAAAATATTTATCGGTACTTTCAAATAGGTCTAGTGTCTGGTATAAGTGAATAACAAATGCTTAGCTATCGGAACACAATAGAATCTTCAGTTTTTAGCCACAGGCATTGCACATTGCGGTATACTATTGCCAATAGTTAAATAATTATTGCATGCCTGGTCTTAAGTGCTTATTTACTCAAATGAGCAAGGTCTTGTCCTTGTTCATTCACAAGCCTTTTTAGCTAGCTCATGTGATGTCTCGGTGTGCATGCATATATGTACTGTATTGATCTCAATTGGTCACTAGCATATGAGCAGTACTTTTGCAAGTTTTAAGTTAATCTCTGTACTGATCCTTGTTTGCTCTTGCCCATTAAAAATATATGCATGTGTTTCAGCTCATATATGTGAAGCTATATAGCAGCAGCAGTTCAGTTCAGTTTAGTTCGGTTTTGAGTATTTTTTCACTCTTCCAATTAGCAAGTATTGAAAATAATCATTTCCCTTGTTGCCTTGCTTGTGCAGGAAAGTAAATAAAGAGCAGAAAAAGAGGATGGTGGTGGTCACCTGGATGCACTGCTTGGATGAGCAGAAAGTATTTTTATGCATAGTTCTATACATAGTTGCAATCTGAGATGTTAGACCTTTGTTGCATAATGGGCAGTAGGTGATACAAGCATATAGACTATGATTTGAATTATATAATGCCCTTGTGTTGTGGTCAGATTTGAATTTTATATATATATATATATATATATATATATATATATATATATATATATATATATATATATATATATATATGTGTGTGTGTGTGTTCTGGTCAAATTTTTTTTTGCAGAAAAATATATTGTAGGGGCGGTTCTAGATTGAACCGCCCCTACAAATCGATTTGTAGGGGCGGGTGGTACTGTAGCCGTCCCTACAAATCGATTTGTAGGAGGGGCTAATAACACCAGCCGTCCCTATTTGTAGGGACGGTCTGGAAATCGCCCCTACAAATGCATGATTTGTAGAGACTGTATGGTAGGGGCGGCTGGCCAAACCATCCCTACAAATCATCTGGAGCCGCCCCTAAAAATAAATTATGTAATAGTGGATATAGCAAGCAGCACATGCACGCATGTACAGTTGATATCATGCTGGGTAGTGGATGCTCTAACAGTCAGCCTCCGAGCATGCATATTTCTTTTCTTTAAGGACTGTTAGGCACTCTCAATTAGAGTTTTATCTGCATTTAATAGTATGTTTACTATGTAAATATTTTTTTATAAGGTGGCAACATTTTAAAATAGACTGCAAAAGAAACTCTCATTACTTGGTTCCCAACTTTAGATGAGTCGTAGAATATAATGTCTATGAAACAAAAGAATGAATCTACGCATTAAAAATGATTGTTTCGTCCCTATTTCCTTGCATTATATACATTCTTGAAAACAATAACACTACGAAACACTACTCCGGCAGTCTCGACAGAGAAGCTAGGATAGTTTCGAGGGCCTGCGAGGTAGTTGCTGCCGGGTGCCGGCCTCGGCCCCTAGGCCATCTATGCGCCGGCACCCTCGCCCTCGCGGAAGACGAAGACGCCACGGGAGTCGGCCTCGGCCTCACCTCCATCAACGTCGAGCATCTACAAGCGACGGAGATGACGGAAGACGACTAGCGGGCTCCACAGGCACGTTCATACTGAGAGTCTGCTCTGTTCTCTTCACCGCGTCTCTTCTTCTGCCCATTCACACTCTTTTTTTTCTTTTACCGTGACGAAGAACAGGAGCAGATGGTAATGTTACCGCACCAGCATACAATACAAGGTAATAATAATATCAATTCTTGTGCAGTCATTCAGTCAAATTTTCAAAAAGAGCCTGTTCAGCTTGTGACATGAGTACGTAGAGACATCACGCAGCTTTTCGCAAAATTAAATAAAAGCATGCATCAGTGGAAGCCACGCGCGCAGGGCCCGTGCATGTGCACCAAGCCAGTCACGCACCGCGGGCCCTAGCTGACTTGACGACGACTTGGTATCCTTTTTCTCTTTCCCTTAATTTCTCCCTGCACTGCATTTGAACAGGCAGCAGCAACCTCACTTTGCCGGCCGTGCGAGCAAGCTCAGATTGCTCAACTCACTCCATAGGCCCTTGTGCTTCAGCTTGCAGGTCAGTCGTCGTCATACTACTACTAGTCTACTACTACTGCAGCTAGAGCTGCCCGTTCGTTCATGGATGTTTTACTGCAAGCATTTCGCTAGGAAGTACTATATATGGGAAGGAATGCACAACTGGTGCCTAGTTTTCTTCTATATATAGGAAGGAATACAAGCATTCCGCGTTGGGTACAAGGACATACTCGTCGACCTGCTCATCGGGAAGGACTCGGAATTGGCCAGCTTTCCTCAAGACGCCGGCGCATCACCTATTATGTACCTACTAGCCATCATGCAAAAACGGGATGAAATTGTGAAAACACTATATGATAAGAGCAGTGATGGAAAGCTTTCCTTCTCCGGGCCAAATGGACAGAACGCATTGCATGCTGCTGTTGTCCGACGCCAAGGTAGGTACACCTGCATGCATGCATCTTTCGTTTTTTTCTTCTTCTTTTTTCCAACTTAATTACAAACTGGGTAGGTTCACGGAGACTTGTATTTTATTCGCATGCATGGCCGATTGGTTTTTCTGATCATCTTGATTAGCTAGTCTGATAAAAGGAAGAATGGTGTTTGCAGGTCTTACCAAGTTGCTAGAATGGAACGAAGCACACCTCTGCCCGCTAAATAAGGACCTTACCACACAAAGGGATGAAAATGGGAGTACGCCTCTTCACTTTGCCGCAGCTATAAATAGTGTCTCAAGTTGGGCCATCAAGCATCTGTGGGCAATTATTGGAAGCTAATCCAGATGCCCTGTATCAACCAGACCATGCCGGATTTTTCCCCATTCACGTTGCTGCCTCTGTAGGTGCTTTCAGGAACGTTGACATGTTTATTAAAAAATGTCCTGGTAGCGCCGGTCTGCGTGATGCTAAGGGAAGGACATTTCTTCATGTTGCTGTTGAGAAAAAGAGTGTGAGCATAATCAGTGGTGCCTGCAGAAATCTAGCACTATCATGGATTATGAATATGGTAGACAATGATGGAAATACTGCACTTCACCTTGCTGTCAAGGCTGAGAGCATTCACATGTTTTCTCGTCTATTGGGGAACCCACAAGTAAACTTGAATTTACCGAACAATAGAGGGGAGACTCCATTGGATATAGCCCAATATAAGCTTATGCCCAAAGGAGCATTATGCAATTTTCATGTAATCCATCCGCTCATTTTATTTATTTTTAGTTTTATTCAGAAGCATGGGCAATGGAACAACTGAGATTTGCTCTGCTCATCTTCTTTTTGTTTTGCTTTTGCAGCTGCAGAGTATTGAAGCACAAATAGACTTCGCACTCAAATATGCCGGTGCTGTCATGGGTGAACTGGATGCCCGCATGTGGACCCATCTTTTGCAGCTGCAGAGTTTTGCTTTTTTTTTTTTGGATGGGCTTTCAACATGTGTTTGTACACATTAGCGAGATAGACCTAGGCCTCGAGGCCCACGTACGGACTCACATTTCTGGCGCGTTGCTGAAAGGAAAGATGGGTGTGGATCTTAGACTGAGTCTGAGTGGGTTCCATTGGCTGTCCTTTACGAAACGATTTGTTGACTTGACTTGGCAACGATGTGTCAGTTCAAAAGAAAAAACGTGACTTGGTATATGTATATGCATAATGCATGCATCTCCAGATCCATAACTCCTCGAGATTTGACTTTTGAGGGTTCATCCAGACAACCAGCACTATGTGTTCATATAATATAATGACCCTATTAGTAAGTCAACACAAGTCCGATCTCCAATGTATCCTAAGTTTCATAGTTTTTTGAAACGTTCTTCTCGATCCTACAAGAAATCGATCTCACATCATGCCAAACGATGCTACATAATAATCGATCCTATAAAGTTAAGGGACACTGAAAATAATGTTAATATTCTGCTTAAATTTACAAAAAAGGAAATTAATAAAGTATTTAAAATTAGTGTTACAGGCTCCAATCTTTACAACATGTTACAAATAATCTTACATAAAAAATACATATTTTGTCGAATACTAGATGAGCTCTCTCCCACATGGACGTGCGATTAGTTCTAGTCTTCTCTGTCCTTTGGTCGTCGCTTGATAGGCTGGTGGGCACACCATTTCTGGATGATAGGCCGATCGAGGCAATGCAACATATTATTCCTATAAAAGGAGCGGATGTCCCGATAGGAATTTGCACGCAACCAGCCCTCCCACTAGACTTGCAGCCACAAACTACTTACTTCCTCGCTAGGGAAAGAATTTACCGGGCGATAGAAACCCGATAAAAACCTGATAATTCTCCTCTGTCGGCGAGGTCAGGTAGAATCTTCTCACCACCAAAAATTCCAATTTTACTTGTCCACCCAGGAAAGTGTCATATATATTGCCTAATATCGATATCGTTTTGTGCCAGCCTTTTTATGTTAAACGATTATTTGGGAACAGTTTCTGTAACTTTTCCAGAGAAATCGAGTCACTTCTTGTTCTAATTTTGTACCGACAACTTTTTTTTTAATAAAACCGGTAATTCTATTTATCTATCGTTGATTTCTGTGTTTTTTTTTCTTTTTGGCCATGGGTAAAGAAATCCCTGCTTCCAAGTTGGATCTGGAGATGTCGTCGAGCAGTGGAGCAGAGGAAACTCTTACCTCGCCAGCTGGACAGCAAGCAAATGCTCCGGTAGCGACGACAACCATGGATGCCAAGCTGATGGTAGCCACAGCCAGTGGCGATGTCCAGCAGTTGAAGGATCTGGTGAAGAAGCAAGAATGACAGATGATGATGGTGGTGGTGGCCAACCAGGCTGCTCCAGTGGAAAAGCATCACCAGGGGAACATGGATCCCCAACTGCTAGCATTGGCGTCCTCCGGCACTTCCGAGAAACTGCAAGCTCTTCTCAACGGGGAAGACGGTCAAGCCTCTAGCCACGGCAGCGGCAACGATGGAGGCTTGACTACTCGACGAGCTAGCTCTTATGGTGACACAGAAGCAAATGAGTCGATCCTCGCAGGGATCACTGCTGAAGGCGACACTGCACTCCATGTGGTGGCCGCATGTGGTCAGGGCGATGACTTCTCTACCCGCCGGTGGTGTTGGTGCCTAACCCGCTCTAAACGCCATGCATTGACCACCTATGGCGACGGTGATAATTTCTTGCAGAGTGCTTGCATCATCTACGAGAAAGCGAAGCACCTCCTCTTTGTGCAAAACAACAAGGGCGACACCCCTCTCCACTGTGCTGCACGGGCCGGGAAATCCAAAATGGTCGCTCGCCTCATTGAGCTCGCTGAAGGCGAGGATAGGATGAAGGAATTTCTGCGGAAAGAAAACAAGCACAAGGAGACAGCCTTGAACGAGGCTGTTCGTGTTGGGAACAAGGACATAGTCGACCTGCTGATGATGAAGGACTCAGAATTGGCCAGCTTTCCTGAAGATGGCAGCGCATCACCTATGTACCTAGCCATTGTGCTCAAACGGGATGAAATTGTGAAAACACTATATGATAAGAGTAGTCGTGGAATGCTTTCCTTCTCCGGACCAAATGGACAGAACGCATTGCATGCTGCCGTTCTCCGATACCGAACCCGAGGTACATGACACATGCATATATTTCCTTTTTTCCAACTTGCAAACCTGGTTCGTTGGCTTCTCCTTTATTAATTTTGACACGTTGCCATTCTCTATCTGTGTATATTTGTACAAAAAGTTGTTGTGCTACTAGAAATGTTCATACAATTTACAAAATTGTGAAGAAATTATTCCTAGAGAGAAATCTTTACAGAAGGAAGGGCCTTTATGCCTTTTCTTTGTGTTGGTTCTGCAAACATCAAGCTATGGAACCTCGCTAAGTTTTAATACAAGGGCTCGAGCACGATTAAGTCAGAGCTAAGGACCTACTTTATAAAAAGGAGTGCTGGTTAGAATCTTGTTCTCATTGTTCGCGACCTTGACTAATTTTTGTCATTGAACGTTTGGCCATTACAAGTGTTTGATACTTGATGACATCATCCAATAGTATTGAACCTAGAGAAGCTTATAACAGATCAGTCCTCATTGTCCAAAGCATATATTTGCCTGCCTACTTTTTGTTGTTCACCCGATATTGTCTGAAGATGCGTTTGAAATCATGTTCTTTATGATTGATGCTCATTGATATTAAGTGCCGCCACTTGCTGTTTGGTACCCTCAACGATATTATCAAGGAGCGCATAAAGGCTAAAGAGTTTCTTCACTATTCTTAGTACCATTTTTCATTCTAATTTCCACAAAAGACATTATTGTTAAAATTTGTTCCTTGCTATCATCTAATTATTTGTAGTCGAGTTGCCATCTACAGAACCTTTTATTTGCCTTTATGTATATTTTCCTCATTTATATCTAGACTAGATTATAATATTTTCTTGACATAATGATATGAATTGAACTAAGTTATTTATTAATTCTATTTGACATGGATACTCTATTTATTTTCGGCTGCTGGATCATCATAAAATCTAATGATAGTATTCCCCGATGAATCTCGTAATTTTTAGGTCTTGTATTTGACATGTATACTCTATATTCTTTAATTTTGGGGCCCTGTAGTTGACTTGAATACTCTTTATGTATAATCCATTCGGTGCATATTTTTTTATTTTCTTTCGATTTTATGGATACTGTAAAATTTATTCTTGGCCATTAGATCATAAAATCAAATGATGCATATTCTTTTCTTTTTTCGATATTCCATTTATTCTCGGCAGTTAGATCATCATAAAATCCGATGCATATTCTTTTTTCTGATTAATCTCATATTTTTTAGGCTCTCTAGACGAAAGTGGTGGCTCTTTTTAATACTGTTGTGTTAATATAATAGATAAATCCTTTATTCGTATAGTTGTTTTTTTGTCACCTTGATTAGTTTGATAATAAAATAATGGTCTTTGCAGATCTTGCGAAGTTGTTAAAATGGAATGAAACACACCTCTGCCTGCAAAATAAGGACCTTGCCACACAAAGGGATGAAAATGGGAGTACGCCACTTCACTTTGCCGCAGCTATAAAGTTTCTATTTAGGCCATCAAGAATTTGTCGGCAAGTATTGGAAGCTAATGCAGATGCCCTGTATCAACCAGACCATGCCGGATTTTTCCCCATTCACGTTGCTGCCTCTGTAGGTGCTTTCAGGAACGTCGACATGTTTGTTAAAAAATGTCCTGGTAGCGCCGGTCTGCGCGATGCTAAGGGAAGGACATTTCTTCATGTAGCTGTCGAGAAAGAGAAGGTGGACGTAATCGTTGCTACCTGCAGAAACCTATCACTATCATGACAATGATGGGAATACTGCACTTCACCTTGCTGTCAAGGCTAAGAGCATTCACATGTTTTGTCCTCTATTGGGGAACCCACAAGTAAACTTGAATTTACCGAACAACAGAGGGAAGACTCCATTGGATATTGCTCAATATAATCTTCCCGAAAGAGTATTCTACAAAAATCAAGTAATCCGTCATCCGCTCATTTTAATTTTATTATTCTGAAGCATGCATGGGCGATCGAACAACTGAGATAAGATTTGTGCCGCTCAGCTTCTTTTTGTTTTGCTTCTGCAGAGTATTGAAGCACAAATACACCTCACACTCACACATGCCGGTGCTGTGAAGGGTGTCCATCGCCAGGATCACTTACTGGAAGATAACATAACTCCGGGAGTAGTAAACGCAGCATTTGATGAAAGCAAAGAAACAGAGGTGCTGAAAGAGTCGACTGGAGCTCTGTGTATTGGCTCAGTTCTAATAGCAACCGTGACATTTGGAGCAACTTTTGCTGTGCCTGGAGGTTACATAGCTGATGATCACAGTAATAATGGAGGTACACCAGTACTTGCTCGAAGGTATGCTTTCGATGCATTCATCTTGTCCAACACATTCGCCTTCGTTTGGTCCACGGTTGCTACCACTGCTCTCATGCGGTCTGGAAACCCTTTATTGAACCTTTGGAGCCGAAGAACGAACTTACTCTTGGCCTCCTACTTCGTATCCATTTCAATTACATGCTTGGTAGCGGCCTTTGCACTTGCTGCGTATGTGGTGCTATCTCCGGTGACTCTTGGCACTGCAATTATCACATGTCTCCTCACTTTTGCCATACTGCTATATAATCAAGTGGATCTCATTGTTGAATTTAAGGTGCTGTCAGCCTGCTTTCTGTACCTGAATAATTTCTTTTCTTGAACTACCCAGGAGAGCTACGTGTCATTTTATTAAGATAGAAAAAAAAGATACAACGAGCCAAAGTTTAGAAAGAATCCAGACACGAGGTCCTGTACCTGAATAATTAATGTGTGCCGTCTATCTGCATTCTGATTGCTTACACACCCTATCATTGGATTGGATGTGCATTTTCCCTTGTGCTTAATTTCCCCTTTGATTGTTTGTTATTTGAGAGTTATTATGCTCGTAATAATGTTAACGGTGACTACATACTATGTATTTGTCAATAAATGCTTTTGCATATTCGATCAGATGATATTTTTGATCTGTGCAAAGATTGAACGAGGCAGGCATTTGAGTTTCTAATTTACATAGCCACGCCGAGCCATTGTTGCTATCCCAGATGATTGGGCTTTGTGCTCCTCACGGCGATCCAATGGCTGAGTTGTGGCTACTCCCACACATGGACAGTTGAACCAGAGGAATGGTGCTCCAAACCTGTAAAGCGATCAGTATACATACATGGCATGGAGGAAATGCATATTAACAGCGAGAGGCGAGAGGAATCACTAGTCGTCATACTATAAAATAAAGTTTATTCCAGAATACTGTGGTGCTATGCAGGCTCAATATGTTCTAGTCCAACTGGATTCTGTAATCACTAATCAGGATACAATAGACTGACAGACAGCTGCTACGCAAATTTCCAGCAGTGGGCCTTGCTGCTCTTCACCAATAACTCAGGATCAGTCGTCAGTGAGATGCACCCTGTTCGCTTGGCTTATAATCTGTACTTTTTCAGCGACCGAACAGTATTTTCCTCTCACAATAAATCAGCCAACAGTTCTTTCAGCCATGGCTTATCAGCCAAGCAAAAGAAGTTATATGATAAGGATCATTGCAGAAAAAGGGATATTATATACAGCCCACGCCGCGGAATCCTGGCCCGGCAACACCCCCGAAGGCCTAAAAGCCACCTGTGGCCTCACTCAGCGCCGACTCGCAACGCCGCCGCGTCGAAGGCCGCTCCCTCCTCCCAGGTGATCACGGTCAGGGTGCAGCCAGCCATTGCGCGACCGACGCTCTCTTCTCTCGCGCCGCCCGCAAGGCGGCCGTGGCATGGCCACTTGCTGCCAGATCCCGCCCGCCAGATTCGAGGGAGGGCGTGCGAGGGGTGCCGGCCTCGGCTCCCCACGGCATCTATGCGCCGGCGCCCTCGCGGAAGACGGAGACATCATGGGAGTCGGCCTCACCTCCCTCCATCGATCAATGCCGATCGACGAGCATCTACAACCGGAGGAGGAGGTGGAGGTGGGGAGACGACGACATGATAGCAGTGCTCGGAGTGGGAGGTGTCAGGAAGTGCGGGGTTGACCTGCGGGCCGACGGGCACGGGACAGCAAAAGGAACGTCCGGTTGCCTGATCCAATCCAGCTGATGATCAGATCAGGTCATTAATAAATAGAGAATCCACGTCAAATACAAGACACTATTATATTAATTGAAAAAAGATGCATTGTTAAATTTTATCATAATCTAACAGTCCAAGTTTAAACAAACAGTCCATATCAAAAAGGAGTACGCTCCTTTTTCGTTTTCTTTTCTTTTTCTAACCGTTCAGCTTTTTTTTCTATTTTTTTCGTCCCATGAATTTTTCTATGTTTTTTATTTCTCCTTTCCTTACCTTTGCGTGACTTTTTCTCTCTCTTTGTTTTTTCCTTTTCGTGATTTTCTCCCGTCCTTTTTTTCTACCTGTTCCATGACTATTTTAGATGGTATTTTTGTTTCTCAACTATCTTTCGGTTTTTCTTATAAGCATAAAAATTAAATAATACATAAAATATTATAGAGTTTTTAAATCCTTCGTCCTTCTCTAATCTCTGATAAACAAATATTTTAACCACTAAGTTATTGATGTAGCTTTTGTTAAGAATAAAAACTATTCTTATAAAAACCTAAATTAGTTGTTGGTCATGGTCTAATTAATCAAACCGTAAACTAAAATATTATTTAGTACCCGAGTTAATCTAAACATATTGATATTTGATATTTAAGGGTCTGTTTAGCAGGGTTTTTCACTCAGTTCACAAAGCTGTTTTTCAGCTTCTCCTATCAAACATGTCCAGATAAAATAGCTTCTCACTAAAAGCTATTTTTCTACTCCTCTTACAGCACAAAAACCGAGATAAAACTGAAAATACTGGCTTCTCCTGGCTTTCTTTCTACTATCTTCTCTAAAAACTATTTTGCCACATGTTTTTTTAAAGGTAAAAGACTCTATTTCGACTGGCCATCTTTCGATCGCTCGGCACGGCCTGCTGTATCCATCATTGGTTGACGATCGGAAGGACAGGGTTCACCCCACTGACGCGTCTACGGCAGGTCCAGTAGCCAAAGACAGGCCGCGTGCCATTCGCTTAAACTACTTTTCAGCCGAGTCAGCCTATTTCAGCTTATTCTCCCTCACAAAACACTATTGAATCAGCCGAAACCGACCGCCATAGCAACCGAACAGCCCCGAGTTCCCCTGTCTCCGTTTCTCAGTTCGCACTCTCTAGGATTTCTCTCTCTAACTCCCCTCGGCGATTTCTCAACAGCTCCTTCGATCCCGACGATTTCTCCACAGCCCGTTCGATCCCAGCGATTTTACTCGGAGGGGAGTGCAGATCGTGCTCGTCGGCGTTCAACTCTTCATTCTTCAACGCACCAAGACATCTAATCTATATTTGACTGTTCCCCATTTCTTCTCTCTCGTCTCTTTCATTTCTCTCTCTTCCCATTCCAATCCCCGTACAAAATCACCGCTGAATCGAGCAGCCGCCGGCGTATGGCCCTCAAATCCCCGACGAATCTAGCAGCAGCCGGCGATGAGGAAGCAAAAGCCCTTGGAATCTGCGTGGATGCTGGTGACGAGCGCTCATGGACGGAGGTAACAGGAGGATTTCGCCCATGATTCATGGGCAGGGAAGCTCGAAGATTCTAGGAGGGTGGTGGATTCTGCCCTCGACAAGGGTCCAGCACCCCTAGACTCTATGGCCCGTGGGTTTGTACGGGCGGGGGGATCCAAAATGGTTGCTTGCCTCATTGATCTCGCTCTAGCTGAAGGAGGGGACAGGACGAAGGAACTGCTGCGGAAAGAAAACAAGCACAAGGAGACAGCCTTGCATGAGGCTGTCCGCGTTGGGAACAAGGACATAGTCGACCTGCTGATGGGGAAGGACTCACAACTAAGGCGGCAGAGCTATTTTTCAGTCATAGAACGGTGTTTTTCTCTAACAACATTTTAGCATAAGTATTAGCATAAGCCAAATTTAAGCATAAGCGATCAGAATATATGTACCTAGCCATCATGCTGAGACGAGATGAAATTGTGAAAACACTATATGATAAGTGCAATCATGGAAAGCTTTCCTTCTCCGGGCCAAATGGACAAAATGCATTGCATGCTGCCGTTCTTCGGTACCAACACCGACACCAAGGTACACACGCGTGCATCTTTCCTTTTTCCAACTTACAAACTTGTTCGCGGACTTGTCTTCTATTTTGAAATTATTATGCCATTGTTTTGCCACTCTCTATCAATGCAAATTTGTCAAACAAGTAAAGTAGTTGTGCCTACTGGATATATATATATATGTTTCACAAAATTTATAAATTGAAGAAGTAATTATCCAAGAAAAATCTTAGAGCATACAGTTAGGATGGATTGGAATTGGTAAGGGCTAGAATGCCTTTTCTTTGATCTTGGTTAAGTCAAACACACCTAAGTCATACTTTCTAAGAGCAACTCTAGCAGGGTCTCTATTTTTTTTTTTTTGAACTCCGCTCCATTAATTAAACAGAGTTATTACAATCAAATTGCAAAAAATGTTGCAAGAAGCAAGGAGGATTAAACCAAACAAATGAAGCTAAGGTAGAAGCAGCAAGTTGAGCACAAAGGTGTGCTGCAAAATTCATCTCTCTGC